TCAGGGTCTGGAATGAACATACACCAGCCTGACAAATGACTCACCATCTGCTCACCTTGCCTCCTCACTCCAGGTTGGAGATACAGCTCTCTCAGAACACAGGGTCTCTAGCCTAAACATCTGATTCCTTATCAAAGACATCTGGCTGCTTATCAACCACCTTGAATAAGAAACCTAGTTCCTCTGTCTCTGATTCTTGTGTGAGACTCAGGCCTTCAAGTTTAGGTCTGCTTCTTTTTGTGAACTTTATGTGTCTTTGTGGTTTACTTTTTGGGTATGATAAGCTGGTTTATCTAAGCTTCCGGTTCTCTCTCTTGTTTTTATATTGGAATGGCCAGATTAATTTTGTCTCCAGGAGTTCCCACAGAGGCCCAGTTCAGATGAGGGTCAGATGATTTCAGGCTTTCTCCTAAGGTCTGGATCCCTCTAGGACCAACTTTGGCCTCTGGAATTTGGGGGTTGGACTGGCCTGGGAGCCTGGCCCAGAAAAGATGCTGGTCTAGGGCAGCTAGTGGCTGTGCCACCCAGAGATGCAAAGGCAGATGGTGCGGGAAGAGGCCCCAAGGGCTCCTGGGGACTGCACTGAGGAGCTGGGTTGGTCTGGATGTAAAGGATCAGGAAGAGGAAAGGTCAGCTCCCAAGTCCCAGAAAGAGGATGGCAGGTGGTGCAGACCCAGGGAAGCAGAGGTAGGTGAGTGCAGGGCCAGGCCCAGAAGCATTGCTCCTGGGGCCCAGAGAACACACTAAGTTAGAAATTAATTTTTAAAAATCACCATGCTATAAAATTATGTGAGTATTTTTATAACAAAATGGCAATACAATTTTGTATATAAAATTTTTAATTTTTTTATTAAATTTTGGGGTATTTCATACAGAATATCCCAATTGGTCTTAATCATCTTTATACCCCCTTCCGCACTGGCACCCTCCCATAGTCCCCCACTGGACTTCATACATTCTGTCATTTATCTTAAGGCCTATTGTGTCAAGTCAGTGTCCCCAGATGTTCCTCAGTGTAAGATCATCTACTGAGGTCTAGTTAGCCTGTCTAGAGTTTCTTTCTTTAGGAAGATCAGCTCTTCTTGACCCAGAAACAATCAGTTGCCAATATTTCTTCAGTTAAAATTGGTGTCAGCTGTCCATCTCCCCAGTTCTATGCTGGGCTTTTGTCTGTTTGAGTTTGCATGGATCGTATGCATGCTGACACCATTGCTCTCCCAGGAGTTTGTAGTGCTCTATTTCCATTTGGTCATGCCCCTGACTCATAGAATCTTTCCATCCCCTCTTCCACAATAGTCCCTCAACCCTGGGTGGGTGTAGTTTAATATAGGAATTCTATCTATGGACCAGCATTTTACAGACTAACCATTAGTGACCTTTTGTGTTCTTGTCCCTCTGTTGCATAACGGGGCTTCATTTAATGAGAACTGAGATATTCATTGTCTTCTTTACCCCTTGTTCTATGTTACATGAGCTTTAGGTATAGAGGTTGTACTGTAGATGTACCACTTAGACTAGGCAATTCAGACAAGGTCTTTTTATAACCAGTTGTGGCACTCTGTAATAGTCTCCATCTGGCACAAAAGAAACTTCTTTGATGATTGCTGACTGGGGTAATTGTAAGTATAAGGATAAATATTTTGCACATAGTAAGAAATTATATTAATATGGGGATGTGACAGTTTTGGGGTTTTTCTCTAGGATCTATCACCTTTCTAGCATTGTGTATTTGCCTGTTTATAGTATCACATATGAGCTTCCTCCCATTGAGTGGGCTTTTAGTATTAGATAGTTGTTGATTGCTCCAAAGATTAAAGTGCCACTACTGCATTAATTTTAAATCTTTAAAGAAAGTGATTGAAGAAGATACCAGAAATAGAAGGACCTCCCATGCTCATGGATTGGAAGAATTAACATTGTGAAAATGACCATCTTCCCAACAGCCAAGTATAGATTCAATGCAATCTCAATAAAAATCCATATGACATTCTCAATAGAATTAGAAAAAAAAACCCTAAAATTCATATGGAAGCACAAAAGACCCTGGATAGTTACAGCAAATGAGCACAAAGAGCAAAGCTAGAGGGATTACTCTACCATATTTCAATTAGTTTTACAGAGGTATAGTAATGAAAACAGCATGGTACTGGCACAAAAATACATCCATAGAACAATGGAACATAATTGAAGACCCAAACATGAGTACATGCAATCTCAGCCACCTGATATTTGACAAAGGGGCTAAGAACACTCAGTAGAGGAAAGACAGCATCTTCAGCAAATAGTACTGGCAAATTGGATCTCCACCTGTAGAAGAATGAAACTAGACCCTTATCCTTCACCTTGCACAAAAGACAATTCCAAAAGGACCAAAGACTTCAATGTGAAACCTGAAATGCTGAAACTGTTAGAAGAAAACATAGGCAATAACCTACAAGATATAGGTGAACAAAAGGACTTTCTAAATCAGACATCAATTGCTCAGGAATCAAGAATCAACTAGTGGGACTTTATTAAACTAAAAAGCTTCTGTAAAACAAAGGAAACAAACAAGGAAGGGAAGAGAAAAGGGTGGGAGAAAAATCTTCTCCAGCGACACATCTGACAAAGGTTTAACATCCAGAATATATAACGAACTCAAAAAACAGTCAAGAAGTCAGGTATCCCAATTAAAAGATGGGGAAGGATCTAAACAGAGACTTCTTAAAAGATGACTAAGAAACATCTTAAAATGTGTTCAACATAGTAATTAGGGAAATGCAAATTTAAACCATTTTAAGATTTCATCTTACCCATCAGACTGGCTAAGATCAAGAGAACAAATGATACCAAATGCTGGAGAGAATGTGGGGAAAGAGTAACACTCATTCACTGCTGGTGGGACTGCAAACGCATGCAACCCATATGGAAAACAGTGTGGAGAACTCTTAAAAATCTAAAAATGAACTGGTTATACCATTCCTTGGCATATGCTCAAAGGACTCATCCTGTTGCAGAGATACTTGTACATCCATGTTTGTTGCTGCTCTTTTCACAATAGCTAAGAAATGGAAGCAACCTAACTCTCCCTCAACTGACAAGTGGACAATGAAAATGTGGTATATTTACACAATGGAGTTCTACTCAGTAGTAAAGAAAGACAAAACCATGAAATTTATGTAAATAAATGGAGCTAGAAACTGTTACGCTGACTGAATTAACACAGACTCAGAAAAACAAATGACATATGTGCTCTCTCGTATGCGGACCCTAGCACCAAATCCTTATATATGAGTTTGTATCCTGATATAACCGCAAGAACCAGGATAATGAAAAGTAACCAGTGAGGTAAAGGGAAAGAAGGGACCTGAGAGAGAAGAACAGTAGGAAACAGGTGTTACTAAGGGAGAAATGGATAAATTGGGGATATTTAAATGGGAGGTGGGAGGGAGGGCTATACAGGGAACTTTGGGGATAAAGGGAAGGAAGTAGCTCAAGAGAGGTGGGACTGAAGGAGACTGGTATTACCAAAGAAGAAATGGGAAAAAGATACTTTAAATGGAGAAGTCATGGTGGAAGGGTTAGAAAAAGAGAGAGAGAGAGAAAAGAGATAATGCTGAGCTAGTTTGAAAAAAACAATGGAAATCATACTAATCCAACAAACTATTGACAAATTACACATACATCTCTAAATGAGTCCATGTATGTAGATGAAGGCTACATAACAAGAAACAGAGCCAGACAGGAGAAACCTTACTTTGGGTTGTTGGCCAGGGTGGTCCAAGAGACTCCCAAAATTACACCGGCTATTGCCATATCCACCTGCCAGAACCTGAAGGTAAGACCCTACTTCTGAAGACAGAACATTCTTCAGACACAGGATTTGGAACAATGGAGCTGGAACTGACCTAGAAGCCACTTCCCCTGAAAGCTAGGTATCATAGCTTTGGAAAGCCTTCTGCAAGGTGCTAATTGAGAACCAATTGATGGTCCAACCCTAGCCTCAGGGGCAAATAACCATATCAATGACCTGCACAGCACACCATAGGCATATTAAACATATAGTTCACAATCATTTTTATAGAAATTTAGATAGAGAAAAAAATCTTTCCACCTGTTCCCCAATAGACTTAAGATTTGCTGATTTACTTATATTTGTGGGCCAATGTGTTTATTGGGGAACCTGGGTGAAGCGTTACAATTTGTGTAGACTTAGCTTTTTAGAAAGAAAGGCAATAGACTTTTCCCTCTGTTATAATTTAAGTTAGCAGATCTGAATCTGTATTTATTATCTTGGGTTCTTATTGGAATGAATTAGATGTTTGATGAAAATAAACAATAATAATGAAAATAGTTACCATCCATGGATAATTATAAAAGTAATTTGTGTTTTTACAGCTATAAATAAAACACATGGATTTAATGTATTGCTGTCCTTTGAATTCTACTTTCTAATTTCAAGTGATATGTTTCTTGCATTGAGCTCTTTAAGACCTAAGCCAAGAAACTGATTATTTTTAAATTGTTCTATAAATAAAATTATAGGTAGAGAATAAAGTATGTATAAGCTGTTTGTGATTAAATATTTTAGAGAAGTTGCTGAGTAATTGGGCACTAGAGTGTCCAGCTAGAAGTCCATATGATGTGGTGAATCACTGGGATAGATATGGAAATCATATTTTTGTGTGGTGTTTAGTTCAGGATACTTCGTTTTCTTCACTGAATCATAATATCTGGTAATTTAATGCTCGTATATACTTTGCCCTTGGGGCACTCTATACGATTTTGACCTGATTGCAGTAACAAGGAACTGTAGACCTACTTTGCATTATCTATATGACTGAATTCCTAGAAGGTTTAATAAAGAAATCAAAATCATGCTTTTCCTCCAGAATGGAAGCATTCTCTTGAGATTCCTGGGAAAAGATTTTTAACATTGCATTTCTAAAAAGAGAGCATATATATTATAAAAAAGTCCTGTTTTCCTCTCTGAAATTTCTGTCTCCCTTTATTTTTATTAGATCTTGAAAATTTTAAGACGAGGATGAGAAGCCCAGTGTCGGTCCGTGAAGGCCAGGGAGTGGTCTTGCTCTGTGGACCCCCACTACACTCTGGTGGTAAGTAATGCCTTTTTTGTTTATTATATTTATGAGATATTAGTGCAAGGTTGCAGTATACATGCTGTGATGGCATCTGTAAGTACCCTGAGTAACTGGGTAGATGGAGCATTAGATTCTGTTGAGTGAATTGGAATGCAAGAAATTACAGAACATCCACAAAATTGTATAAACATAATTTATGCATTCTGACAAGCAGGTTGATTTACTTAACAGTGTTGAACAACACTTAAACTCTTACACCATTGTCATTTGTTAGTTTCAGGCCATGGTGATACAAGTTGGAGTATTCCTCTTCTGTCTTCCCTTCTCTTCTCCCCTCTTCTCTTTCTCTTCTCTCCACCCCCACCAAATACATTTGGATAAGTGGATCATATATGTGCATTATATACATGACTATGACCTCTGTGTGTCCATTCACATCATTCATTAGGCAGGTAGAGTTGCAAGCTCATGTTATATTGGTATGAATTGGAATATACTAACCTAAAGCATACTGATGAAAATTAAAATATGTTCCAGAAACCCAGAAAATTAGCAAAAAGTAGCTACTTAGAGTGGAAATAAACTTCAGCACATATAAGGATAATTTAATTAGCCTCCCAATAGGAGCCCAAAGGGCTGGTTTGATTTTTCTTCTCCTGTTCACCTCTGTAAACTTCTCATTTGTGGGAACAAAGAGGGCATTATTAATGTACAAATTTCTGTTCTCAGAGAAACAAACACATTCTATTATGAAGAGGATAAATTATTGAGAGATAAAGAAGTTAGGAAGAATCTTTTTTGACAGGGTGAAACTGCAAAATCTCCCATTGTGATAAAGCTAATTCAAATGACAATATTTTCAACCTCCTTTGTTCTGTGACATGTAAACTGAAGTTCCCTTTATCCCAATGACTTTTTAAATTTAATCACAAACCCCTTTCTTAATAGTATCAATGCCGTGCTTCTTTGGTATCTTATTATATGAAATACATAAGCCTTTTGGAGCATGGAGTTTTGAGACTTGATTAACAGGCTTACCATTTTTCTGGCCTGGTAGGGTTTAAAATATACTCCCCAAACTATTATAATAGTGTAATTTTTCTGGAATCTTGAAGTGCCATATTAACTTGAACACTGAAGTTAAATGCAGGGTCTCTTGTTTGAAATAAAATTAACAAAGTAACTGGGATAAATTTGAATTGAATAAAAGAGGGAGTTTATTGGATTACCTAGTTGGAATGGTCCAGTGGCTTCTATTAGAGCTATGCCACCCTTAACTTGCTGTCTTGCAACTGGGCATGAGCTTAACAGGTGGCATGTAGCTCTCAGGAACATGAAGTCACTTGCCTGTTGTCACTCTGTTCACATACTCAATCACTGTGATAGATGAGGATATAAAGAATTAGCCATTTCTGATATAACACTATGACCAAGGCAACTATAGAAGGAAGTTTATTAGGCTTACTGTTCCAGAGGGGCAAGAGGTCATCATGGCAGGGAAGGGTGGAGGCAGAGGTAGCCAGAGCAGAAAGATGAATGCTCACATATTCAAGCAGGCACAGGAAGCAGAGCTGAGACAGATTGGAAGCATGCATGATATTGACCTCTCAAGCCTGCCCCAGTGATATACTTCTTTCTGCATGGCCACACCTCCTAAAGGCTCCATGACTCTCCCAAACAGTCCATGAACTAGAGACTGAGTGTCCAAATACTTGGAGACTGTGAGAGACACTCATGCAAACCACCACAAACACTAAACAAGTCTGATAAGAAGTATTCAACCCAGAGCATCCTATAAGAATGATCTAAGTTCTGCTGGACCACAGCACCATTGAGATTTTTCCTATTTCTATCCTGCTTCTTCAATATTCCTTTATGAGGTTTTGACCAAAATATTTTATTCCAAATACTAAACTCCTGTTCCTTGAGAGCCCAGTCTTAATAATGCACAGATTTAACCAGTTGCATAAGTAGCTCATCTTCTCCATATTTCTTGATACTTCTTTCTTTACATCCACTGCTTGTGGTGGCAAAGGAGAGTCCTGACAACTCCAGTCTCTTGTGATCTTTAACACTAAACATCCTAATGATCCAGACTCTCCTTCTTTGACTCCTAGGACTAATTAGACCAGCCCTGTTTTCAGAATTTTCCAATCAGGTAAGGGACAGACCCATCTACTGTAAGACAATAGAAGCAGAAAGAAGCACATCCAGAAAAAGAAAGGGTATTGTTATGACAAAAGAGGTGACAGTGCTGATAAAAATAATGAGCAGAGGGGCTGGAGAGATAGCATAGTGGTTAAGAACACTGACTGCTCTTGCAGAAGACCCAGGTTCGAATCCCAGCATCCGCATGGCAGCTAACAGCTGTCTGTAACTCCAATTCCAGGGAATCCAGCAGCCTCTTCTGTCCTCCATGGGAATTGCAGGACATGGGTTCACTTACCTACATGTAGGCAATACATGCATACACATAACATAAAAATAATAAATAAAATATTTTTTAAAAAAGAAATAATGAACAGAGCTACCCCTAGTAAGAAGTATCAAATAATGGAAATGTATATGGGCTTATGTCAAAAACAAAATAAAATCATTTTTTGAAGTTTTGAAATGTTGACCCAATTTAAGCCTGTGACCGAGTGATCTGCCATTACTTTCATGTTTACATGTTTTCATTGATAAGAAAATTGGGGCATATTGGTTGACAAAGCATGCACAGAGTGAATATGACTTGAAAGCTATTAGATGAAATCTGTTCTAAAATATGGAATTCATCTATTTTCATAAACTTGGAGAATTGTTTGCCAGTCTCTGTGATCCTAAGTAATAATATTTTGATTTATCTCAGCCTTTTGTGATATTATAGAGTTCTGTCTTCAGTTTTAATGCTGGTGGATAGATGATTATGCAAGTCTGGTAACATTGTAGAAGAAAAGAAATCTTTCCAGTTAAGATACATGAGTCCTTAAGATACCCAGAGTTTTAGTAAGTTAGTAACGATAACCAAAACATTTCTTCTGCAGTGCTGTATTATGCAGTAAGATGGCCTGGGACACCAGATCAGATTTAGATGTGATTCTCATTGATCCAAATCTCCACAGTCAGTCCCAACACTTTTGGTTAATATGTTACTTGAGGACAGACCTAATACAGCATTTGTTTTGCACCCAACTGCATAGCACCAATTTGGTTTAAAACATACCATCTATTGAAAAATAAATATATTCTAGAAATAAATCAATTTCTAGATTCAGAAAGCTACAAATTTTGAAAAATCCCCCAGACACAGTTTATTTCTCAAGTTATTTATGAGCATTTAGCAATGCATATTCCCTAGGTCCTCACCAGATAAATGCAGCGCCGATAGAACAGAAGGAACTCTGTCTATAGCAGCTGGATTCAAACCTGCTCCATCCCCATCAGAATGACTTAATAAACTTTAATTCAGTAGAGAGTGAAAGCCAGTTCCCAGAGCAGTTGAAGGTGTGACTGCAGAGCTTAGGAGCTCAAGCAATGAAGGTTTGATTAGTGTGTTCATGTCATTCCTGGGGCTACTGAGGTTCTCTTCTCTCAGGGTCTCATGGATCCTTTGGGACATGAAATTATTATTCTCTCTCCTTACCACTTTCTTTCACTTCATATTTCTTCATTTCTTTTTGTCATTTTTCTATGGTTGGAATACTTAAAGGTGGCATTTTATGATTATTGAATACAAGATCATTTTTGATGGACCTCTCATTTTCCTTCTTATAGTGGTATA